CCACCACACCATCCACCACCACCACAAACCACCACCACCACCCACCAGCACCAGCACCAGTCCAACACCACCACCACCAGCACCACCACCACCAGCACCACCACCACCACCATCACCACCACCACCACCACCACCACCACTACGACCACCACCACCACCACCACCACCACACCACCACGACAACCACGCACACACGCACGCACGCACGCACGTGCACCACCACCCACTACGCACGCGCGCGCGGAGCCACAGGTCCGCTACGACACGCGTCCGCGGATAGAGAAAATCAGCGCCATTGTAAGGGATGGGAGGGAGGGGTAGGACGTCAGATATGACGCGAGCGCACCTAGATTGTCCTCCTCCTCCTCCCTCTCTCCTGTGCACCTCCTCCCTCTCCCTCCCGCCCCCCCCTACAAGCCTCCGCCGCCACCCCGAGGCCAATCCCCCGTACCCCCACTACCCCTCCCTCCCATCCCATCGCCAACGACCCCCCCCCGCCTGCATGATATCTCCCTCCCGCCCCGCCGCCGGCCCCCCAAAAAACCGCATAACCCATCGCCCCACCCCCGAGGCCCCCCTCCACCCGCGCCCCCCCCCTCTCCTGTCCCCCCCCCCTCTCTCCCGTCCCCCCGCAACTTTTCTCCTGCCCCCCCCCCCCTCTCCTTGCAGAGCGCCCATCTGCAAAGCGGACCCTCCCGCCTTTCCCTGCAGCTCCCGCTCCCGCCTGAGAGGGCCCCCCCCCCTTTGCAGCCCCCCTCCTTGCAGAGCGCCCCCCCGACCCCCCCCCTCTCCTGCCCTCACCCTTGCAAAGCAAAACTCCGTGGGAGGGGGGGCCGAAATCGAGGGGGGGGCTGGCAGGGGGGAGGGGGAGGTGCCGAGCACTGAATTCGTCAGTTAATGAGGTCACCCACCCTGCCCCCCTCCCAAGGAGTTAAAGCTCATGCTGAAGCAGAGCTTCAGCTTAGACTTCTTAAACTCACACGCCGAATCAGCGGAGTTTTGCCTTGGTCCGAAGTCCGGCTTAATCCGTTTTTATTCCTGCTTAGTCCGGCTTAATCCCGGCTAATTCCGCTGAGTCCGGCTTAATCCCGCTTAATCCGAGACTCTCTCCGGCGTAACAGCCCCCCAATGGGGCTTAATCCTCTTTAATCCGTCTGACGAAGACCTCCCAATAGTTGCCTCCTAAGGTTCGTTTTCGCATAGCACGCGTTTGCGCTCTTCCTGCGAGGAACTGCGCACTGTTTCTGCGGCAGTCGTGCCAACATCACCTCAAAAGATGAGGGCCGCCTGCGCACCCACGCGCGCGTGTGCCCTCACAGGCAGAAGGCCTGGCTTGAGCGCCGGCCCGAGCGCGCAGGCGCACCCTCCTACCCGTCCTCCTTGTCGTCGCTCCTGCACGACCGCTGCAGCCACCGTTTGTTTGTGTGTGTGAGAGGCCCCGGCCCGCTTCCTCCTCCTCTTCGGCCGTTCCTTCGCTGTTTGCTCCTCCCCTCCTCGCATGGTGGCGCATTCGCTCCACGGCAGCCCCGCTTCGCTCCCTCGCCAGCGCAGCGGCTCTGCCTAGCCGCCGACGCGATTTTTTTTTTTTTTTTTTTTTTGTTTTGTGTGTGTGCCCCCGCGAGAGGGTCTGTCTCGGGCAGGGGCCCCGGATCCTCGGCTTTTCCCAGGACCTCCCCTCCCTGGGGGCACTCCCGTCGCTTCTCCCAGGGCGCTCCCTGGCGCTCCGTGGGCGCCCGTCGGCGCTCCCAGGGGGGCAGAGGGCAGCGGGGGCGGGCCTCCCCAGAAGGCCCACGGGAGGCCGCGTTTCCTCGCCTGCTCCTGCCGCTTCGATCCTGGTCTTTCCACCTCTGTGCCAGGGCTCACCTGAAGACTCTGCGCACGGCGGTGTGCGAGTTGACAGCCGCCTTCCGCTTCTCCGTCTCACGCTGCGGCGCAGCCCTGCTGCGGTGACGTGCAGTCACAAGGCCCACGGGAGGCCTGCGGCCTTCGGGAAGCCCTCGGAGCATCTCCAAAGCCACAGAGGCCTCCGCAGGAGGCCAGAGGGGTTCTGGGAAGCCCCTCCGCCTCCTGAGGAGGCTTGCCTCTCTCTCTCTCTCTCTCTCTCTCCTTGTTTTTGTTCTCTCTCTCTCTCTCTCTCGCGTTCCCCCCCTCGGCGCGCCGCCGAGCGTGGCGGGCACCCCCACAGCCGCTCCCGTGCAGCATCCTCGCAGCTCCGTCGATTGCCCGGGGCGCGCGCAGCCGTCCCGAAGGCCCCAAAAGATCCCCTTTGGGGCTGAAGGCTGGACTTTTTGGGTTCCTGGTCCCCGTCTTGGGCCTCTCTTTGGGCTATTTTGGGGCCATCTTGGGCCGTCTTGGGCGCCTCTTGCGCTGTCTTGGGGCCATCTTGGGCCGTCTTGGGGCCCTCTAAAAGGCTTCTTGGGCCGTCTTGGGGCGGTCTTGGGGGCCTGTTGGGCCGTCTTCGAGCGTTGGGAAGCCGAAAAGACGAGAAACGTCGCACATGCAAAACATGTACTTTTTTCGGAAGGGAATGGGGCGATTTTTGTTTGTCGGGTCTTGGAGCGATCTTTCGGCGACTCGGGGTCTCTTGGGCCGAGTAGGAGACGTCCCGCCGCCCTCTTGGCGCGCTCCTGGAGCGCCCCGGGGGAGTCGGTCGGGCATCGGCCGGGCATCGCCCGGGTTCTTTTTTGTCTGGGGGTCTCCAGGGGCCGCCACGCGTAACCTGTTACCGGAGATCCTAGCACGCAGCGAAATATGGGCGGGTATGTTCTGCTCTCTACTTCTCTCCTGGGGGGCGGCCCGAGGGCGCAAAGTTGTTCGCGCTTCGTGCTGGCGTGGAGTTGGGCGCCCTTGCCCCCCTCCCCCCGGACAGGCCGACATCGGCATAGCCATGGGCCTCACCGGCACCGAGGTCGCGAAGGAGGCGCCGAGCGCCAGCCGAGTCGGCCCTGCCGAGAACCGGCGAGACCCTTGGAGGAGGAGGAGGAGGAGGAGGAGGAGGAACACCTTGCAAGAGTGAGCGTCTCCAGGCTTCCCTACTGAGGGTCCGAGTAGATGGGGTTGGAAAATGCAACGCGATGTGCAGCCAGATCTGCTCCACGCCGACGGCGCTGATGCGTCGCGGGTGCATCTTCGATGCATCGCCGATGCATCGGCGGTCCACTGCACGGCGCGGTGCGATCCTTGGGCCCCACCTGCTTGGACAACCTTTGGGAGGCCTCCGGCGTCTCCACCCCCAACCGTTGTGATCCCACCCACCCCCTCCGCGACAGGCTCCCCGTCCAGCGCAGAAGGCCCGCGGGCGCCCGCCGAGACAAGATAAAATCTTTGGCAGGCTTCCGACATGGTCCTGGCGGACGACAACTTCTCCTCCATCGTCTCCGCCGTCGAGGAGGGGCGGTCCATCTACAACAACATGAAGGCTGGGCCGATGCGCGCTCCTGCGGGCAAGGAGGGCGCGCCTCCCCCCCCCCGCCCCTGGCCCCCCTCTCCCCTCGGGGGCTGGGCCACGGAGCTTTGGCTCCCGATCGTGAGCGCGACTCAACAAGTGCTCACGCTCCCGCCTGGCCTTAAGTCGGGCGTGTCCCTCTACAGGAGGAATATCCCAAAATAGGGAAAATAATAGCCAGGGGATTATTTTTCAAGCATCTTGTGACCATTTAGGGGTATTTTTTTTGACTATTTTTCATTTTTCGCCCAAAGTCCCCCTGTAGGAGGACAGGCCCGACTTAAGCCTGCCCGCTCCCCCCTGGGAGGGGGGGCCCAGAGGAGGGGGTGGTAGTGCTCCGCCGCTCCCCCTGGAGCTCCTGGCTCGTGGCTGCCAGTGGCCCCGCCCCCCTTCCTGGGCATGGCCGGGGTGGACGGCGCCCGGCAGGCGCGGGCCCGGGTGGACGCGGGGCTCATGAGACGGAGGTCAGTGCAAATGGGGGTCAGCCAGGGCACCAGATCCTGCAGGGTCCTGCGAAGACCCCCTCTGACTGACCCGGGCTAGCGAGCCGCTCGTGGTTGCGAGGCGGCCGCGCATATTGGCTGACCCAGGTTTGCGCAGCCCTACCTCGCAGTTTTTTTTCCCAACCAACCTGTGGTGTTGGGTCCTCGTTTTGAAAAGACGGTGCCCCGCGTCTCTCCTTCCTTCCTTCCTCCTCCCCCTCCTCCCTCCTCCCTCCTCCCTCCTCCTCCCCCCCCCCCCCAACCGCCGCCCCGGTTCGAGAGGTTTGGGCGCCGTACCAGGTACGGCGACCTTTCCCGGAGGCGGCAGCCACGCGCGCTGGCCCGCGCCCCAGTCCCGCGCGATCCGCGCCTGGGCGGCATGCGGCTGGCCGCGCCCGCTCGCGCAGCTCCCCGCCTGGCCCGCCTGCTGGGCCCGCTGGCGGCGCCGGACCCCCCAGGCTCGGGCGCGCCGAGCCCGCGTGGCATCGCCGAGCGCGCCTGAGACGAGCACAGTCGCGCACGCTGCTGCGCGTCGCAGCCGCCGCACGCCTCCTTGTCGCCCACCACAGCGCCATGGGCAAAGGAGGCATCGGCAAGGGCCGCACGGGCGCGACGGGCGGCAGCGCCCCGCAGGGAGGTCGGGCTCCGCCTCCGTTGCAGGGTGCGCCGCCGCCCCCACCGCCAGGCTGGTGGTGCGAGGATTGTGGCAGCTTCAACGGGCCGCAGGAGAGGCTCTGCCGGTGCTGCTACCCCGGCCCCACGGGCCTAGTCGGAGGCGGCGGGCATGGCGGCCCACCGCAGCAGCGCCAGCAGCAGCAGCAGCAGCAGGAGCAGCACCCTAGCCGACGAGGCTCGAGATCTCCTGGGACGCCAGGCCGCCGCCGCTCCGCCTCCCGTCGCCGCAGACGCGAGAGGCGTGAGGAGCGGCCGCGGTCGGGCTCTCGCGTGCGCTTCGCGGATGAGCCCGAGCCCGACCCCGACGGCCACGGCGTCTCGGACGCCGACGATGAGGTGCGCAGCCCAGCGCTCGGGATCCTTCCCGCGCTGCCGCAGGAGGCGAGGCAGCACCCCGCCTGGGTCGACCCGCCCAGCGACGAGCGCGCCTTGGCGGCGCACAGGAAGTCGCTCCGTCAGATATGCTGCTGCGACAGGGAAGCGCCTGCAGGCTTCCATCGCCCTCGGAGCCTCCGAGGAGATCTTGACAGCCCAGAAACTGGAGTACAGCGTCCAGCTATGCATGATTATCACGGCCCGTGCGCCTGGTGAGCGCTGCGACCGCCAGCGGGCCTGCGTCGCCAAGGCCCTGGGGAAGCTCGAGCGTGCCCGCGAGGCGGTCGACAAGGCACAGGCACGCCTGCAGGAGGCCGACGCGAAGTGCACGCAGCGCGAGAAGGAGCATGATCGGGCCAAGCTGCTGCTGGACCAGCTGGAGGCGATGCAGCCCATCCCCGCAGCTGGTGTCGCAGCCGAGGACGTGGACATGGGCGCGGAAGGCACGAGGATGCCAGAGGCTGGAGGTGCTGCACCTCAGACGCCTCAGAGCACTCCCGTGCAGCTGGCGGCCATCGCGGAGCTCCAGAGCGGCCAGGCGACACTCGCAGCCCAGCTCAGCAGCTTGACGTCAATGCTGACGACGCTGCAGATGGCGATGGCTGCGGCAAGGACCCCAGCAGCTGCCGCCGAGGTCCCCGTCCCACCTGAAGGCGGCGCCCCGCAGGTCAGGCCCTTTGCTGGCCAGCCCCAGCGCCTGGGCCGCATGCCGACGGCGGAGGAGCTTGCAGCTGCCGCACCTGCCGCCGCGGCCGCGGTAGCGAGCCCAGTGGACGGAGCAGCTGATCCTGCAGCTGCCGCTGGCCCCGCTCCGCCTGCGCCAGCTGCTGCTGACGGCGCACCTGCGGCGCCTGCAGGGGCCGACGGCGAGGATCTCGCTGCTGCGCGCGCTCGTGCCGCCACGGCGCGCCGTGCCAAGTGCGAGCAGGAGCGCGCGAGGCGCCCGCCAGGCCAGCCGCTGCTCGCGGACGCCATGGCCAGGCGGCAGCAGCTGGGCGGACATCGGGGCCGTTGCAGCATGCCGGCCCCAGCTGGACGTGCTGACAGCGCGGCGGAGTTCGGCGACCACGAGACGGAGGCGGCTGCAAGGCGGACGCGGCACAGCCGCGATCGCAGCCCCCGCAGGCCCGACGGCTTCGAGATGGTTGGCGGCGCTGGTGCAGAATCGACGGGAGAGTCGACGCTGGGGTGATGCATCAGGACAGGCGAGCTGCTGGGGGTGAGATGCCTGAGCCATCTCATAGCTCGCCTGCGGCTGCCAGCGCAGCCGATGTCGCGTCAGAGCCCCTCGATCGGATGGAGTCCGATTCGCCTCTCCCCCCTCGCTCCAGGCCGCCTTGCCCCATTCCCGATTGTGAGTCGATCGTGAGAGGCCTGCGTCAGCCTTGGCCCTGCGCTCACACTCTCACGCCAGTTTTCTACGGGCCTCAGCAGTTGCCCGACTCGTGCTTTTTCTCCTCTTACTTTCATAGTAGTACACGTTCTTTTTTTGAATCCCACGGAGGCGCCCTTCCCCCCCCCCCCCCCCGAGGATGAGGTTATCAGGTATGAGGTGCATGCGGACGGCTCTGGTGGATCTCGGGCGCAAGTACTGGGTGGACCACCGTCATGGGCTTGGTGTATGTACTCAGTTACTGGCACACAACAGTACACATGTGACGGTTATCTATGTGGTGTTGACCCCTCTCTCCTCGACCTGCCAAGTGCTTCAGGTGCTGCTGAATTTCAAGCTGCCCTATGGCTAGTGCTATGGATGTTGCAGGCTCCTAGCAGATTCAGGTCCAGGCCCCTGGAAGTTTTCACCGACAATATCCCTGTAGTCAGGTCGGCCAAAGGCGGAACGCACTACTCATCTTGTGGGGACTATCCTGGGTTGTTCGATGGGGCGCTGAAGCTTCTCCGCTGTTCTACCGCGGTGCGTTGGAAACACGTCTTGGGACGCAATGCCGACCCTCGGAATGAGCTTGCATATGCCATTGCACGATTAGCCTACATGGGCCTGGCACCGACTGCGCCCGACGACTTTCAACCGAAGCCTGCGCTAGGCGCCGCCGCCGTTGCTGCTGTGCCCTGGCTGTGGATGTCAGTGATCTCCAACGCCAGCGACGGTCATGGGGTGTACCCGAAAGTTGGCATGAGTGAAGTGCCCATCGCACGTCCACCTCTCTTCGATCCCCGTCGCGCTTTCTACTCGCATGCAGGACTCAGCTCGGAAAGTGAAGACGCGGTCCGTTCGCCTTCCCGTTCAGCTCTCGATGCCTTTGTCAGGTTTGCTGTGGCCAATGTTCTTACATTACGGCCCAGGAGGAAGGCTGCACGGAAGGGAGGCAGGATGCGGATGCGATGTCGGTACCAGGACGCTGCCGGACTAGATACCCCTGGGCGCATGCTGTCTGTGGCGCACTTGTTTGATGCTCGTCAGTTTCTCTTTATCGGCGCGCTTGAGACTAGGATACGTCGCAATGGATGGGCGCCTGCCGCTCAGTATCTTGTGCGCACCGCCGCTGCCGAACAGAAGGGTGCAGGTGGGGTAGCTCGGTGGGTGCTCACAGGTTTTCAGTGCGTGCGTGGGTGTACGCTCTCTCGCCGCCATCTACGTGTTCTCAGCTTTGCTTCTCATCATCTTCTCGTTGCTGTGCGTGCACCGCATTTGCGTGTCGATATCTTGGTCGGGCATGCTCCGCACTCCAGACGCGACAGCGTCGAGGTTGAAGAGTGGTGGGTCAGTATCGAATGCGTCCTGCGCCAGCGCCCACATCCCGCACCCCTGTACTGTTTGTTGGATGCTAATGCTACTCTGGGCTCTCGGGTCTCGGATCATGTTGGCGACGTCGCCACCGAAAATGAGAACCACACTGGGGCACGTTTCCATCAGTTTCTGCAAACCTCGGGACATAGTGCCCAATCCACGATGTTACCTTCGGCTTCTGGGGTCCATGGTACCTGGCTCCCCCCTGGGGCTCAATGGGACTGACCCACGGCGTCGAATTGATTACATCACTGTGCCATGTGGACAGCTGTCGTGCGTTACACGACAGTCAGTGGAAGTGGATCTTGATCTCTCTCTGCGTAGTGATGATCATTTTGTGGTGTCGGCAGATGTGCATGTGCACCCATCTCTGCCATACCAGCATGCACGCGCGCGGTCCCGATTACGAGTGGACGAAGCGAAGTACAACGATCCAGAGTGTTGTGCCGCATTCGTTCGTGAGCTTGAGTCGGTGCCTCAGCCCGCCTACCAAACCCACCCGGACGACCATGCCGATCACTGGAACCAGCACATTTTGCATGCGGCCCAGGTTGCCTTCCCGCCCAGTGCTTCGGAGAGTGGCCGACAGGCCAAACACGGTTGGATATCCAATGGGGTCCCTGGACCTCATGGACCTTAGAGTTCAAGGACGTGCGGCCCTACGGGCCCTGCGGTCACAACTGTCCCACCTA